CCCCAAAACCCCAAAACCCCAAAACCCCTTTGGTTATATAAATATTGAAGAATTCTGAATCGCTAAAATGTCTGAATCAGACAAAGTAATTCTCCAAGTAATCCTATAGTCGTGACAAGAGGCCAAAGTAAATGAAGACCAAGGAGATACTCTCACAATAATCGAAAAACTTGACAGAGTTATAAGGTAAAATTTTGAATTTTTATAATGAAAATATCAAAGTATAAACTTGCTTATTTTCATGCTTTATAGTCATGTCAAAGCCAATAGCGTAAATACTCAGAATGATAATGAGACAAAATCAAAGAAAAGTAAGCAATTGAATACTAAATTATAGGTGTCAGGAGTAAGATAGGTCCATCAAATTGTGCTTCTGAGAGCGACTATTCACTTTTCTAATTCTCTATAAATTCCAATAACTTATTAAAATTTAGAACTTTGCTCTGTGAAGCTCAAGATGACTAACTTCAGAAAAGAGTTTTTACTATCTCCTGAGCCTAAGAAGAAATCCTTGAGGAAGTCTTCGCCTGAGGATAAAGAAGATGATGATGACGAGTTTAATTTTAACGATATCGTAACCCTATTACATATCTAATTTTTAGGCTCCAAGACAAAAATCCCAGAGTATGAAGTTCAGTAAGTTAGATAAAAGTTAAATTGCAGAGGAGACTGTACCAGTGATCAAGAAAGTCACTCGGGCAAATCGTATGAAGAACTTTGAGCTATCAAGTATGCCTTATATACAAATTTAGAAATTGAGGAGTCAGAGTGAGAGACATTGGGGCAAGAAAGCAGTGAATATTTCAAGGTATCCAAATACTAGTCAGTATAGATTACAGAGAGCAGTGTTTTGCTTGATACTGAAGGGGAATTCAAAGGAAAAGCAAGACCAGCTAAAGAGACTCAAGGTTCCAAAGCGTATGCATACAAAGGTTTAAGCTTCTAGGTCTAAAATGAAACAGAGACTAGGCACAACAAGTAAACGCTCGACTCAACGCAGGTAATTTAATGGATTACCAAGCTGGAACATGAATTATTTTATATTCTCCTTTGAAAAATCTCTTCATCAATTTTCCAGATTACTAAATATTTTTGGGTAGTCAAGACACTAAGTCTTTCATGAAGAAGAGGAAGGTTGATGAAAAGAATGAGAAAGTTAGTCAAGGGTTAAAGGAAGTTCACCAGCTAAAGAAGAAGAATAAGGCTAAGGTTATTCCGAGACATAATCATGTCTGGCTTCATCATGTTAAAGGTATCAATAAGTTTTACAGAGATAGGCGATGGGAGAATCAGAAATATGCTAAAAAGTCTCTCTCCAAAGAAAAGATTGTCGACTGCTATTTTAAATATTGGGAATAATCCTTCTTTGCAAAAATCAAGAGTTCACTACAAAAATGATTACATACATCTATTGAAAATCTGTGAAAATATTATTCGCAAAAGACTAAACGAAATTTCAGGAAATGAACTTATCCAATATCTTTCAGTCCCAGGAGTTGGAAAGATTCAGAAATTGCTGAAACAAATCAGGCAGGAAATAAATCATGTCAGAAGAGTGAAAGCCCAACCTAGTTGAACTCTTGCAGACCAAATGCCTTTAGTCACTAAAATAAATATTCTCGCGCTTGATTTAAAATCTGCTGTTAATAAAAAGATTATCCAATTAAAATTCCTTGCAAAAAAACCATCTGAGAGAAAGATTTCCATACCTGATCAGGAGATAAACAGAAGTATGGTTGATACTACTATAATATCAACTCTTCCAAAAATCAAGGAGACCAAGAAACAAAAGTTTTTAAAGGTATTTCTGATCTATTTAGCATAGCGATTGAAAAGACGTCTGCCTAAAGGTATTTCAACAAGAAATAGCTCAGGATATCAAACATTCGAGAGTAGGAGGATCTCAGCTTCTACTGTTTTTAAGAGCCTTAAATTTACAAAAGTTGGTATTTCCATCCCTCGTAAGAGAAATCGGATCAGATTGAGAAGGAATATTGATAGTCTTCGAAGATCAATTCAACCCTCTTTAAACCGAAGTTTTGTGCTTTAATCTTACCTACATCTTTCAATTATCTTTTCTATAAAAGGGGTTTTGGGGTTTTGGGGTTTTGGGG